TGGGAGGAGTTTGGGGCAAAAAACGGGGGTTTTGGTAAAAAAAATGGGGGGTTTAAGGGGAAAAAATGGGGATTTTTTGGGGGGAAATGGGACTGGTTTATACTGGGAGGGACTGGGGCAAAAAACCTGGCGGTTTTGAGGTAAATAGCGGTGATTTTATGGTGAAAAAATCGATATTTCTATGGTAAAAATGGGGATTTTAGGTAAAAATGGTACTTTTAGGTGTAAAAATGTGGGATTTTCGTGGGGAAAAAGGGAACTGGGTTATACTGGTCTATACTGGGTTATACTGGGTTATACTGGTTTATACTGGGTTATACTGGGATGGACTGGGTTATACTGGGAGGAACTGGGGGGAAAAATGGGGGGGTTTTGGGTGAAAAATGGGGATTTTTAGGCGAAAAAATGATATTTTTAGGGTAATAATGGCATTTTTAGGTGTAAAAAGGTGGGATTTTCACGGGGAAAAGGGGAGTGGTTGATACTGGGTTATACTGGTTTATACTGGGAGGAACTGGGATGGACTGGGAGGAAATCCTGGTGGTTTTGGGGTGAAAAACGCTGGATTTTAGGGGTAAAAATGGGATTTTTTTTGGTGAAAACCAGGCATTTTAGGGTAAAAATGGCGGTTTTAGCTGTAAAAAGTGRGATTTTCACAGGGAAAAGGGGGACTGGTTCATACTGGTTTATACTGGGAGGGACTGGGGCAAAAAACCCGGCGGTTTTGGGGTAAATAACAGTGATTTTAGGGTGAAAAAATTTGATATTTTAGTGGTAAAAATGGCATTTTTAGGTGTAAAAATGTGGGATTTTCGCAGGGAAAAAGGGGACTGGTTTATACTGGTTTATACTGGCTTATACTGGGATGGACTGGGGCAAACTGGGAGGGACTGGGAGGAAAAAGCCAGTGGTTTTGGGGTAAATAATGGTGATTTTAGGGGTAAAAATGGGGATTTTTAGGGTAAAAATGGCATTTTTTAGGTGTAAAAATGTGGGATTTTCACAGGGAAAAAGGGGGCTGGTTTATACTGGTCTATACAGGTTTATACTGGGAGGGACTGGGGCAAACTGGGACGGTCTGGGAGGAAAAAACACGCAGGTTTGGGGCTGAAAAATTGGGATTTTGGGATAAAAATGGCATTTTTAGGTGTATAAATGTGGGATTTTTGCAGGGAAAAAGCAGACTGGTCTATACTGGTTTATACTGGGACGGTCTGGGAGGAGAAAGTGTGGCAGTTTTGGGGTGAAAAATGGGGATTTTGGGGGAAAAATGCCATGTTTAGGTGTAAAAAAGTGGGATTTTCGTGGGGAAAAAGGGAACTGGATTATACTGGGTTATACTGGGAGGGACTGGGAGGAAAAAAACGGTGGCTTGGGGTAAAAAATGGGGATTTTAGGGCAACAAATGGAGATTTTGGGATAAAAATGGCAATTTTAGGTGTAAAAATGTGGGATTTTCGTGGGGGAAAAGGGGACGGGGTTATACTGATTTACACTGGGATGGACTGGGGCAAACTAGAAGGGACTGGGGAAAAAATTGAGGGGATTTTGGGGTGAAAAGTGGGGATTTTAGTGGTAAAACTGAGAATTTTAGGGTAAAAATGGCATTTTTTAGGTGTAAAAATGTGAGATTTTCACAGGGAAAAGGGGACTGCATTTTACTGGTCTATACTGGGTTATACTGGGATGGACTGGGAGGGACTGGGGAGAAAAGATGCGGGGGTGTTGGGGTGAAAAACAAGAATTTTAATGGTAAAACTGGGAATTTTAGGGTAAAAATGGCAATTTTAGGGGTAAAAATGTGGGATTTTCATGGGGAAAAAGGGGCTGGGTTATACTGGGTTTCACTGGGGCAGACTGGGGCAGACTGGGCGGAAAAAAACAGTGGTCTTAGGGTAAATAACGGTGATTTTAGGGTGAAAAACAGGGATTTTAGGGGAAAAATAAGGGGTTTGGGGAGAAAAATGGGACTGGGTTATACTGGGTTATACTGGTTTATTCTGGGATGGACTGGGAGGAAAAAGCCAGTGGTTTTGGGGTAAATAACGGTGATTTTTAGGTGTAAAAATGGAGATTTTAGGGGCAAAAATTGGGATTTTGGGGTAAAAATGCCATGTTTAGGTGTATAAATGTGGGATTTTTTGCGGGGAAAAAGCGGACTGGGTTGTACTGGGTTATACTGGGATGGACTGGGGCAAACTGGGAGGGAAAAACCCGCAATTTTGGGGTAAATAACGGTGATTTTAGACGGAAAAAATGGGATTTTAGGGTAAAAATGGCATTTTTAGGTGTAAAAATGTGGGATTTTCATGGGGAAAAAGGGGCTGGGTTATACTGGGTTATACTGGTTTAAACTGGGAGAGACTGGGAGAGACTGGGAGAGACTGGAAGGGACTGGGTTATACTGGGAGGGACTAGGGGAAAAATTGGGGGGTTTTAGGGTGAAAAACAGGGATTTGGGGGTAAAAATGACATTTTTAGGTGTAAAAATGTGGGATTTTTCACAGGGAAAAAGGGGACTGGGTTATACTGGTTTACACTGGTTTATTCTGGGTTATACTGAGAGGGACTGGGGCAAACTGGGAGGAAAAAAACCGTTTTGGGGTGAAAAATTGGGATTTTGGGATAAAAATGGCATTTTTAGGTGTAAAAATGTAGGCTTTTCATGGGGAAAAGGGGACTGGGTTATACTGGTTTATACTGGTCCATACTGGGGTGTCCCCTGAGTGTCCCCACGCTATCCCCGTGTCCCCAGAGCTGCGGCCGTTCCAGTCGCTGCCGTTCTCATCGCTCTCGGCCGAACCCTTCGCCCTCGGTGGCCACCCCGGGGTGGCGCTGGCCCAGCCCCGCAACGGAGCCTGCGCCCTGCTGGAGTGGGACCAGCTCGGGGGGAAATTCCGGGCGCCCACCGTCATCAACTGTGAGAGAAATGGGGAAAATGGGGAAAAAAATGACAGAAATAGAACAAAAAATGGGGAAAATATGGGGGGAAAAGACAAAAATGTGGGGAAAATGGGAGAAATGGAAGAAAAATGGGGCAAATGGGGTGAAATGGGGAAAATTGGGAAAAAATGGGGAAAATGAGGAAAAATAGGAAATGTGAAAAAATGAGGAAAATCGGTGAAAAAAATGGGGGGAAACAGTGAACAAATGACAAAAATAGAGAAAAAAAAGGGGAAAATATGGGGGAAATGGGGTGGGAGTGGGAGCAGCTTGGGGGGCACTTCCGGGCCCCCATCATCATCAACTGTGACAGAAAAAATGGGGAAATTGGGGGAAAATAGGGGAAAA